TACATTTACAGCACATTATAGGCGATTTAATTTAAATATTGTTCTCTTTCAGTAAAAGTGTCCCCAGACAAGCTTTGTGTAATTTACAGCACACTATATGCATATAATAGAGTAGGGCAGCTTTTTTGCTCAAGTTCAGGCTATTAAGTGTTTCATAATTGTTAAGTGTTAAAGTACAAATTTTTGTTTTACAGCACTTTTTAATAGTTTATAATGGTTCAATTCAGGTCAAAATTTGAATATCGAAGATATCTACCATTTTAAGTTGATATTTTGATATTGCATTCCGGAGGAGCTCACCAGTGGTGAACCTCACCATATCACTGTCTTTTTTTTTTTTTTGCCATGTTTTCTCTATTCCATCTGTCCCCTCTCAAACTTTTGTCTTTTTAAAAGAAGAAGAAAAAAAAGAGACTAACAGATACCTTTACTGGGTCATAGCCCATTTCAATGGCCTTATCAATTCCTTCCATGACCTTGTGGAACCCTGTGAAAAAGAATGTTCAAGTTTAATAGGTGATAAATCTAACATCTGGTAAGACGTTTATTCTTATTTTAGCCTATCTGAGTCTCATTGTGCTCGTAACTCAGTCTGATAACTTTTCAGTGATTGTAAAAAAGGAAGCAGAATGGCTCAGACAGTTGCATTTTCCACAAGACAGAACTTTCGCTCTTCCTTATTTCACCCTCTCCGTCACTCCATCTGTGCATTCCATCCGTACGCCCACGCCAGAACTGAACCCGCTGTCATTTTGCCGCTTCAAAGTGAGACTGATCCACATCAGCCAGACGCTGCTTTTAGACGCACAGATTGGATTTCAACTGTCAGCTAGCGTAGCCCTACCCAAAATGTGAAAAACGTAGCAGGGAGTCACGGCGCAGGGTGCCCCATCGAATCTTTTTATACCTCACTATTCCTACATTTGATCTTAAAGTTCAAGCAAAACTTCATACCTTTTCGCCTGACAATGAACTCAAACTTGGCAGGTACCAGTGAATCCAAACTGATGTTGATCAGGTCGAGGCCCGCATCTTTGAGGAGAGGCAACAGTTTAGCAAGGTTCATGCCATTTGTTGTCACCGCGATGGTCTTCAGACCCTCCAATTTTCTCAATTCAGCTGCAGAGGCAAGAGAAACAAAAACGTAGGGAGAAGGAGGGGCGAGGGAATTGCATCATTAATTAAACAATCCACTCACAGCATTCACAATTACCCAACGAACTGGTACTACAGCAGTGACAATGCGAGCGCCCATCTTACACAAATTTGGCATACGTTTTTTTTTTTACCCTCACCATAAAGACCGGGACTAAAAATAGAATGCAAAACAAAACATATTCTTATATTTCTTGTACTATATAATTTGGATTGAACAGCGATGCACGGTTCTCCACGTTACAGCAAGCTAGATTCAAGACTTTTTAAGGCACGTAATGCTATTTGATATTACATTTAAAATCAACTTCAAGATGTTCCCGTTGTCCAATGTTGTCCACAGTTGTAGTACATAAATGATGTGCGACTCTTCAGAGTTAAAACAAAAACCACATCACTGTTTGTTGGTTCCACTGTCACTATTACCACAAGAGTCCATCCATCCATATGCCAATCCACTTATCCTCACGAGTGTCGCGAACATGCTGGAGCCTATCCCAACTGTCTTCGGGCAGTATGCAGGGTACACACATCTCATCCTCTATAGTTTTTTTTTTTTTTTTTAATATATGTTATCCAGGCAATGTTTATATTTCATTTATTTGACTTTTCGTACTATTGTGCCTGTTGAGAGTCTTTATTATTTTAATCTATGAAAGAATGTGTTACTAAATAGGGCCGGGTATCAATTCAGATTTCCCAAATCAGACATTATCGTCTTTGTGATTTTTAAAACCCCAAAACTTCCAGACACCCATCTTCAAGCTTGTTGGTCTGATTTCATTGCTTCCGCCATCTTGATGTATTTATGGTTTTATGAATCGATATCTGGCTATGACAGGGAAAATCGATTCGATGTGATTTGTTTCAACCCAGTCCTATTACTAAAACCAGGTAACTTTTGTTTTTTAAGTTATCTTTTGGACGAAATGGTTGCTGCAGTGTGCCAGCAAGGGTTTTGTATTTTTTTTTCTTGAAAAAAGTCGATAAAATGTTCTTTTGTCAATATGAAGATGATTTTTTTGTTTCCTTTTTTTCTCCAAATCATATTGCCAATATCATTCACCATAAATAAGCTGAAAAATGTACAGCTAATCCATGTGATGGGTATCAGCAGTGATTAGCAGATATCATTCGTGGATGATCAGATGGGATAATCGGCAACATAAAACTGACTGGAGTACCCTAATTATCAACCTGCTTAATGTGACACTAATACAAACCGGTGGCACTACATCCCCTTGAATAAACTAAAATTGAAATAAAATAAAAACTCTTACGCAAGATTATTTTTTCACCTTTAGCGTTTCACTCATCTGGCTAATTTATGGTTCAAATCATGACTGTGATCCTCGTGGCTTCCACTAACTTGTCGCTAAATTGGTCTGCGATACATTGGACAAGGTAGATGGGACTAATCAGTTCCCCTTGCAGCATATTTCTTCATGGAAGTCATCATTTGGTCTGTGAAGTCACACGGGAATGGGCCTGCAACAACATCAATTTCTCAATATGTGTTACCGATGATATCCAGCACATCAGGTCTGATGAGCGGCTCTCCTCCAGTGAGACGAATCTTGTCCACGCCTTCTTTGACAAAGAGGCGAGCGAGGGTCAGTACTTCTGTCGTGGACAGAAGCTGGCCTCGTGGTGTAAGCTTCACGCCCTCCTCTGGCATACAGTACTGACCTGAAAATGAGCAGAACAAACAGAAACAAGATTGAGAGTTTAACCTTTGAAAGCTTCAAGTTGAAACGGCCCAAAGTATCTCTGGCTATACAGTTGTAAGGCAGAGGTGGGCAACGCCTGTCTTTGAGGACCGCTGTCCCGCCTGTTTTAGATGTCTCCAACTGTTGGAGGAGCGAGAGAGATAAAACAGGCAGGACACCGGCAAGGGCCAAACTGAGCCAATGTGGCCCCCTCGGCAAGGCTCTTCTATGGCGCCCCCGCTCTCTGTGATTATACATACACAAAGCAGATCATTTCACACATACACAAAAATAAAATAAAATAAAATGATAAATATTGTTAATCATACATGTACAATAGTATACACACACACACACACACACACAATTTTTTTTCCTTTCCACGTGCATATTAGATTGTATATTTGAATGTCAGTGTAACGTTGATTTACACTCACAAAGTTGTCCGAAAGCCCCTGCATTGATTTCCTGGCTGCGTGCTTACGGTCATTGTCCTGCTGAAGGATGAACCGTCACCACAGCCTGGTCAGGAGCACACTGGAGCAGGTTTTCATCCAGGATGTTAATATACAATGCGGCATCCATCTTTTACTCAACCCTTACAAGTCTCCCAGTTCCTGCCACTGACCAATGACCCCACAGCATGATGCCACCACCATGCCAAACATATCTGACATTAGCGCCAAAGAGTTCAATTTTTGACACATCAGACCAGGAAATTTTGTCTAATTTGGTCTGAGATTTCTTCATGTAACTTCATCCAAATTCCATGTGGGCTTCCTTATGCCTTTTTATAAAGCAGTGGCTTCTGTATGGCTACTCTACAATACAAGCCTGATTGGTAGATAGTTGCAGGGATGGTTGTTCTCCTCTTTCCATAGAAAAAGGCTGGCGCCGGAACTCAGACAGTGACCTCCTTGACTAAGGCACTTTTTCCGGGAATGCTCAGGAGATGGGTGGCCAGTTCTAGCCGAATTTATTCTTTACACTTGATTGGATGTGTGGCTTGAGATAATAGTTTCTCAGAGGTCTTGCACAGTCACTTCCTTTCACTTTATGCTTGGTTTGCGCTCTGACATGCATTGTCCGCTGTGGGGCAGTTAACAGAGGTGTGCCTTTCCAAATAGTGTCCAATGGACTGAATTTACAGCAGCTAGACTTCAGCAGCTTCGGGGCAAAGGCTGAGAATTCTTATGACCATGGTATTTTTTTTTTTTTTTGTAAATTTATTTTCATAAATTTCAAAGACAAACATTTATTTCATATTGTCTTTATGAGCTGTGGCGGCTCCGCCAGTGGGCGCGTTGACCTCACAGTACATCGGTGCAGGGTTCGATTCCGGCTCCGGCCTCCCTGTGTGGAGTTTGCATGTTCTCCGGGTACTCCAGTTTCCTCCCACATTCCAAAAACATGATTGGCAGGTTAATGGAACACTCTAAATCGTCCCTAGGTGTGAGTGTGAGCGCGGATAGTTGTTCGTCTGTGTGTGCCCTGCGATTGGCAAGCAACCGGTTCAGGGTGCCCCCTGCCTACTGACCAAAGACGGATGGGATAAGCTCCAGCACCCCCCGCGGCCCTTGTGAGGTTAAAGCGGATCGGAAAATGAATGAATGAATTATGAACTGCTATGTGCAGAATTTTTAGAAAAAAAAAAACTATGAAATCAATTTTGAAATAAGGTTGTCACAATTTTTGGGGTAAAAAAATGAAAAGTACTGGAAATACTTTCTGAACATAGGGAAGAAGGCTAGACTCGGTCACAAAGTGGGAATGAACAATTCGGGAACAAAGCGTTGTTGAACAACAAAAGACGATTTGAGAACGCCTGTCGCGCCCAGGCGACATTGGTCGTCTGCAAAGTCTGCAACTTGTTGATTCATTGTAGACCAGACGGAAAGGCGTCAACATACAGGTGGTTCAAAGCTTAAACCAAGGTAACCAATCACTACTGAGGGGCCGATGCAAATATCGGGGGCAGTGTTTTTCTTGTATTTTGTATATGTAAGAATAAAAGTTCAAACTGGCGGACAGGGAACTCTGAGCGTGATTACCGGGGCAACAACCGTCGTTCGCCCTCAGAGATCCATCCCGCCGTTAAGGAAGACAATTTTCCCTGTGTGCCGAGTCATTTCTTTAACTTTGTTCCAGAAAAACTCTGACAAACATATAACATTTTTTTTAAACTTGGATTATCAAGTAGAGCAGGTTGGTATTTGCAGCAACTATTGACAAATGTACCGGTTTTCGCTTGAGTTGGCAGCACTTAGTGTTCTAATTTCTCACATGATTACCTAGCAGTGGTCTGCTCCATGCTAATGGATAATCATGTAATGACTAGATAAGCAATGCATTTGCATGAAGACATGTTTAACGAGAATTTATCTCAAGTGCGACTTCTGAAGTGGATTAAATAGTTTTTAATGGGCTTGATGTGAGTCATCATTTGAAGTCAATGATGACTGCAGTGGCAACCTGTCTTGACATGCTTGAATGCAACTTTACACCGTCACAAATGCACAAGTGCCACGTTTCGTGTACGATACTTATAACTCACAAGTTGTGTGACCAAACAAATGACAAAGATCACAATTACTCTTCTAGAAGCTGAAACATTCAAAATATGTTGTCGTGTTTGCTAAATTGTTTTCCATTCGCTGCTGAAAAGACTTGTGAGTCCAAATGGCCTATCGATGACAGCTTTAAAGCGACTGCACATTGGCACTTATATAATTGGTCTGTGTGTAAAAATAATGCCAGCACTAAAATTTACCTCAGTGAAAAACTGTAGTGATCTAAGGTTATTTTTTTTGTTTTGTTTCAATGGCTCCAAATCTGGAGGAGACTGCTTGATTGGCACATCAGCTCCATCAGTGAAGGAGGCAAGAATTGTAATATTGTTTCCTGGCTTGGTTTGTCACGTTGGGTTACCACCTTGTTCGTTAAAACAGTGAACCATTGCCACCAAAATTCATATGCACACTCCACTTCAACGAGTGAAAATATAAACGTGATCGGCACAGTATTTTGGATTTTATTGACATTAAATGCTAGTTCCTATAAAAACAAAACAAAAAAAAAAAACAAAAAAAAAGATTCCTCATCGCAACAAAATCGAAAAATATTGTGCTGATCGTTTTGTTGTTTTTACAGGCTGAAGTGGACAAAAGAATCAATGTGCATATAAATGTTGGCCGGGCGGACAGACGGCTGAATGGATTTGAAAAATTCAGAGCACTGGACTCCCAGCGATGAGGCCGATCCTGCAGCCAAATGTTGCTGCTTAGCGCTCCTCGTTTTCGAGTACTTGATGGAGGTGGACTGGGGGGG